CCCAGGCAGAAAATCTCAGCCATCACACACCAGAAAGCTGAGGCAGGCCTGGACGAGTGTGACTTGGTCAAGGTCACAGAGCAGAGGTCTAGATCCCAGCACAGGGATGTGATAATCCAGAGACCTCAGCTTTGTTGGAACAAAAGGCCTGAGACCACAGTGCCTGGCCCGGGAGATGTGGATCCTGGAGGGGCATCTACCAGATTCAACTCATGTGCTACTTGGAACCCAGGTAGCAAAGGCAGCTGCCTCTCAGCATGCGCAGCCCCAGGGGGCTGGTGGGCCTGCAGGTGGTGGTCTGAGCCTCGTCTCTCCTATACCTATGAACAGCAGCAGCCACCAAGGTGGGTCTCAGCCTGTCCCAGCCTATCCTCACCTGAGCGTTCAGTGGAATCCACTCATTTATCCACTTCTGCCCCACTCACCAGGTGGCGCATCTGTGTCCCTGAGGCTCCCTAACTTCCCAAGTGTCGTATTAGCATATGAGTGTCCACTGCACGTGGATAAAAGTCCAGTCTCGGGGGAGCTGCCCACAGGCTCCTTGTACCCATGGGGCAGTTGGCCTGAGCTAGATGGGCAGCCCCAGGTGGTGATTTGCCCAGACCCGAAGGTGCAATGCTGTTTCCCAGGCCTCCTCTGCCCTTTATCCACTTGCGATGGTTAATTTCATGTATGACTTGGCTGGGTTATGGTGCCCAGATATTTGGTCCAACACTTTTCTAGATATTTCTGTGCAGGTGTTTTTTTGGATGAGGTTAAAATTTAAGTCAGTGGACATTGACTAAAGCTGATTGCCCTCCCTAACCTTGGTGGGCCTCATCCAATCAGTTGAACAAAAACTGACCTCTCCTGAGCAAGAATTGTTTCTGCCAGAGGCTACCATCAGACTTACGCAACTCTTCCCCGAGTCCCCAGCCTTCTGGCCGCCTCCATCAGACTTTGGTTGCACTTGCCAAGCCTCCACGATCCTGTTTCTTGAGAACACTAATAGACCACTTTTATCTAGGGATAAGGGAAAGTTACCCAGACGTTAAGTAGGCCCCCACACGAGGTCCTCGGAGACGTCACTGACAAGCCTGTGGCACACGTGGGTTTGCCCCCAACTCCTCTACTCTATGTGCAGCTCTGAAAACTGACTATTCTTTTTAAGGTCATCTGGTGGTGTTGGGGGATGGGGGGGATATCTCTGACTCACCCATGGGGCAAGAAGGATGGGGGTGGGTTCCAGATGGAAGATAACCAATGTCAGAATTGTTCCCTCTAGATGGCTGGTAACTCCAAGTCACAATGACACTTTGGTTTATTAGTTTACCCCTCCCATGTTTTGAGAATGAAAAAATAAAAGCCACCAAAGTATTTTTTTTTACAGTGCTTGGGGAAACAAAAGGTCAGAAAGTGTACTAATTTATGATTTCTGAGTTGAGTTCACACACTTTTATGTGATAAAAATCTTTTAATTGAGGAGAAGCTGCAAATAGGCCCCAGTCCTGAGATTAATTTACAGGCAGAAAGGAAACTGTCCTGGTGGCATGATTATTCACACACTCATCCATCTCCCATGAGGGAAGAAAATGACCCTGTTCCTAAGATAAGTGTAAACTGCACGTTTCCAGGGTAAGAGCCCGTCATTTAGCAGCTCAGCATCCAGGCCAGTAAAGGCCCTTCCTAATGATGTCCTGGTCAACAACCAGCTTGTATTTAAGAGTGGATTCTGATTTTTCCATGTACAGAAAAACAAGCCTGGCACAGTAACAGAGAAAGAATGTTTTGGAAAGAGAAGAGTGCATCTTAGGACTAATCACATTGACAAAACTTGGAGTATCGCACATCTAAAGAACTGTCCTGTTGGGGAATGCTACCTAATCGTCTGCAAGCACACTAACCAATTCCTTTGCTTGTGGGGAGAACGTGGTTTCGGATTATTCTGTAAACACTAACCATAGAGTAGTAGTCACTGCAAGGTGCCAATGGAGCGGGAAGCCGGGGCTTTGCAGTTGCCATCAGCTTATAGGTGAAAGTCGAAAAGTCACATACGAGAACAATATGGATTTTTCTACATGAGGCTGAATC